TTCCTGGAGAATAATGAGCAGGCTTATTCCTGTTGCAGGTAGGCTGAAACCTTCTCCTTTCACAGATCAGAGTACTATAATCAGATTTCCCAGATATTATTTATTAGGAACTCTTTGGACACGTGGTTGTAACGTTGAAAGTACTCCAGCTAAGAACTCCGGCAGAAAGGCAAGCATCTGGCTTACGACTTCATCAGTCTCAGAAGTTATTAGGTGCTGTTTTGCAAGGCCAAAAAAGGCTTACAACAAGCATAGCTCAGCAGGGCATAGCTGAGTCTATAACTAGACTTCTGCAAGTTTGCATCATTAATTCTAGCTCAGACAGTTTGACCATGTACATGCACATCTACAACCAGTTTTGCAAATAGTGTGAGAGTATCTCAGCAACGTGATTTCTTACCAAAAAAATGTGCTGAAATGGAGCATTTTGGAAATTTAAGATATGAATGGCTTTGTAGGTCTGGAGCCAAGGATTGTAACCAGATGGGATATTCAAAAATATGCAAGAAAGGCCTATGACTTAGGAATTCGCTACGTTGGAGGTTGCTGTGGATTTGAGCCATATCACGTCCGAGCAATAGCTGAGGAGCTGGCTCCTGAAAGAGGATTTTTGCCAGAAGCTTCTGAGAAACATGGGAGCTGGGGCGATAGCCTGAGCATGCATACCAAACCCTGGGTCAGAGCAAGGTATGTGTATCTGAACTGGCAAGCACACCAGCATACTCCTTGCACAGTGTTACATTGGTCCGTGCGGTAGACTGGCTTAACTGATATGGATGTCTAAGTTTCACTGTAAACATTCTATGTGTTAATAGTTTTGAAGAATTACATGTGATTTGGGAGCTGAGAAAGGGGTTACAGGGCTGTAGGAGAGCTCTAGAAAGTCTCATCCCTCTTTAAAATGAAGATTTTGTCTGAATTAAGGGCGAAGTAATTAATGAAAGTTAAGATCAAAAACTAATGGGCTGCTCTAAACCAGCTCCTAATGATGAGCTGCTTACAGTGTTCTTTCAAGGATGAAAAGATACTTTTCAAGCACGTAGCATTTCATTGCATGCTTTCATTCGTACTTACGTATATAAATATAAAGTCAGTCTGTGCGAGTTAGATGACCTTTTGCAGTGGTGATTTAAGCCACATATCCTTTAGTATGGTGTGGTGCGGGAAAAAAAATCTACATTTCCTTTTCTTTCTTCAGGGCAAGAAAAGAATACTGGGAGAATCTGAAGCCTGCTTCAGGCAGGCCATATTGTCCTTCAATGTCAAAGCCAGATGGCTGGGGGGTAACCAAAGGAGCCAAGGAGCTGATGCAACAGAAAGAAGCAACAAGTGAACAACAGCTGAAGGAGCTCTTCCAGAAACAGAAATTCTAATCCACTGCAGTTGTGTAAATGTTAGAATGATTTATCTACAGACCATCTCATGCTTCACGAGGAAAACCTGTGAAGATGAGTACCCTGTTGATTTATCAGTTAATGTGTAATGAAAGAGACAAAATTCAGAAAGAATGTGATTACAGATTAAAGAGAATACAGTCAGAAGGAGGTTTGGGTTCTCATAACTGAGCTTCTGTTAGTTAGGTGCCATTAACTGGGTAGACACAGAAATACATGGAAAGTAATGATTGGAATTTCTAACATGTAGAAGAAAAGTTCAGAGGACTTTTAGGCAAGAAAAATGACAGCTAAATAACTTCTTTTTCTCAAGCTACCATGTATACAATATGTACTCCTCTGGAGACTAAAAAGCTTAAGAGATTATGCTGAATTTTTTTTAAAAATCAAATAAATTAATATGATGGAATAATATTGTATTATCTTCACACCTTAAATCATAAGAGCTCAAACAGAATAACATACCTCCAGTAAATACTTAATTTTCAACTGATCCAGATGATTTCTGGATATCTTACTGGAAACCGTTATCTCAATATAACACTTAAAGACTGAAGCTTCTTAAAAATATAACTCCTGTTTGTAAGTGTAGTAGAAGAATGTTCCTTTTTTTTTTTTTAAGCTGACTGATTCAGTCTAGTATCTTAGCTATAAGAAGACATGAAAAACCCTGTTAGGAAACAGATCAATCCACTGAAGTTAAGAAAATCCATGGACATTTGTACACTGAATTTGTTGAGGTACCCTTTTCATAGGAAGAGTATCACTACACTTGGAACCCATGAAGGACACATTTCCATAGCTTAGTTTTGTGAACTACCACACAACTTGGATTTCTCCATAGAATCTCATTCCCACCCATTCTACATTAAAGCCACTACCTTTATGGAAATATCATTCTCAAAGTTAGCGTTGAAAGCTTTTGTTGGACTACTTTTTATGTAGAAGCGTATTTAATTATTTATATCCGTGTTGATATTCTGCAGTTCAGGAAACATTTAAATATGCAGCACTTCAATGGGAAACTTCAGGTATCCTTTTCAGACTGTTACTGGTACACAGATTTTAGTAAAAGCCGCTTGCCTTCACCAAGATTATAACAGATCGAAATAGTTACTAGCTGGAAATTTTGCCTGAAAGCCAACAGTAGACAAATCAAGAAAGTGGGTATTTTAAAATGTAGATTATTTGGAAAGCATCCATGTAAGTATGTATATATGCACTACATGGGACTCCTTTCCTTCCTAAATTCTTCTGGACGATCACCCTGCAGAAAGTGGAATAGTGCAAAATCTGCAAAACAAAAAGGCCGCATCTTTGATCACCACCAAAATGAATGCAGTATTAGAGAGGTATGCGTGATAAAGTGGCTTAAAACACAGGCTGTAATTGATGAAGAAATGTTTTGAACGATCATTGTCAGTTTAGGGACCTCCTGTGGCAAAGAGTGCAGCTTGACCCTCATACCCTTTATAAGCAGCTGGACTGATTTTTTTGAAACTTTCCAAACATACAAAAATTCATACTGAAGTGAGTGAGTTCACAGTGCAGAATATTGAAGAACCATGGTATTGAAGATGACCAAATACGATTTTAAGCATTTATTTTTAGATACACAGTTTAAAAAGGATGGATTTTAACAGACACTAACAATGACAAGAAATATTTAAAAAGCTATTTGAAGCCATTCAAAACGAGAGCTGACCCAAGGGGATGGTATACAGTTCCTTTTTGATTCCTGTCGCAGGCTTGGCTTAGAAAGGAATTGACAGTGGCATGAAAACAGATTTCTGTATTCAGCACTACAGAACCCGAAACTATCCAAAAAGCCCAAACACACACTCCACTCAAAAAATTAGACACACACACACCCCCACACGCCTTCTGAGCAGCAAAGCCAACAAAGATTTCTTTCCCATTTCTTTCTGTGTAACGTCTTACGGAGGGGTAACAGAACTGTTAAGATTTGTTACATCTTTCTAATGGTTTATTACATGGCTTGTTAAGGAAATAACGCAGTCTGACAGCAGAATCCTAAGAAATTTGTTTAATTAGAAAGCCTGTCTGAAAACTTACATAGGAATTGAAAGGTGCTTTAGAAGGTCAAGTCCTGTATTTAGCACCCTAAGGCAGGATCAGCTATTCACAGAATACATTTGTTTAACCCTTTTGGAAACACTTCTAGTGATGGACCTTCCATACCAATCCCAGCCAGTCTGGTTACTTCACGCTTCTTAGCAAATTCTTCCTAATTTGAATATTCCTTGATGGGATTTAAATCCAGTATTTCTTTACAGCTCATTACAGGCATGAATAATTTATTCCCTGTTCATTCATTCTTTCCCTGTGGCCTCTGAGGTTGTGATTCGTCATAAACCCAGATACCACTTTCATCAGATCTTTTCCCAGAGCTTCCAATCAGAAGGCTTTGCTCTCTAAGCCTTTCCTCAAAGGCATAATGTCAGGACAAGAAGGATCTGAACAAACCAAAGTTCAGAAACCACAAGCTGTCTGTGCTGCACATGAGGAGGTGTCTACATTTTTAGTCAGCTCTAAAGTTTTGCAGAAGCACATGCAAAGAAAGGCCTAAAAACCTGCTGTTTAATGGTCGGTCACTGGCTTGATTTATCTGTAAAATTCAGGAAAACAAGGAGTTCTTTTGTAAAGAAGGAAATTTTGGAGTAAAGTACAAAATCACAGAAATCACAGGGGTTTCCCCTGTTCTTTTGAAAAGACAGTTTTCTAGGAATCCTACCAAATCTGAAATTTCCATATACCACAAATTTCTTCCTAAAGCGGTTTGTAGCTCATGAGTTCTTTTTCAGCTCTATACACAAATACGGTGGCAGGGTCAGTGACATCTTTTAACCTGCTTAGGTTTAAAAGAAGTGGATCCACATATTGGTCTTGTTGTACTCCATTGACTTTATAAAATATTTTGTCCCGCAATGCGTTAAATTATTTTAAATATAAGCACCATTGAAAGAGGATAGGCAAAATATTATCATAAAATAGAGTATTTCAGGATCTGGCTTTATTACAACATTCTTCATTACCTTTTCTTTAAGTTCCACTTTATTGAGGGCGATGGTACCTGGCATTAAGTTTTATCTGAGATACCAACCACCACTACATACAGTTTCATGGAATCATGATCCTAAATTTGGTCAGCGGTGTATGCCGCTGTATGTATGCAACCCCTGAGTCAGCAATCAATTACATCCCAACTTTAGGAATCTGAAGTTGGACTTCCCATGTATTTTGGCCAACTTCATCTCTCAGATCTTGCAGATCTACTAGAGCTGTAAATCTGAAAAGAAAAGCACATTTCACTAACAGGTTATGATGCAACCAGAGTGGAGGATAGTTATGAAGAAATTAATTTCAAAGAAGATTGAATAAAAGTATGTTTAACATCTGTCAGCAACATGG